TCGATAATCGAAATCTTAATTTAGCAATATAAACACATGACATAGATTTGGACTCAACTAGATCACATCACCATTAGCCACCGATGGAGTGGTTCGATAGAGGACTGTCACTCGTTCTGGGGCACATGTTTGGATTCAGATCATACTCCAGTGCGAGCTCGTATCTGTTTGAGGCTTACTGGACGTAGGAAAGACACCGTAACGAAGCCTCTTAGGGTTTTACTTAATGATAATCAAACCAAGAAAATATTTCAGGAGCAACTAGAGAGTTAAGCAACAAAGCAAGCGATTCCTATCCAGAATCAGGTTGGTATGATATCAAAAAGGCTGTGGAAACAGCAGTGATATCTTCTAGTAAGGTAAACCATAAGGCTAGGATGGAGCTGTGGATCTCAATAGCATCTACCGAACCGATGGATGCTCGAAAACTCATCCCGCCTGGCTCTGAGAAGCGGAGTCAGCTAAGACGTAGGCTGATAAAAAGCCTATGCAATGATCGCGAACAGTGGTGGGTGGCGAAAGCAAAAGCGATGGAAAAGGCAGCGGCGATAGGCAACAGTAGACAACTTTTCCGCCTTGTTAATGAAACTGGTATTAAGAACCCGAATGTGAGTGAGACTATCTCGGAAAAGGATGGTCTTATTATCCATTCTCAATCCAGGAGACTGGATCGATGGGCAGAACACTTTAGGGATCAGTTCAACTGGCCTTCAGCCACTCTTCAGTTACCCACGATCTACAATCATCCTGAATGGCAAATCGACGTAAGTCCCCCTAGTCTTAATGAAGTTGAAAAAGCGTTAGTAAATCTGAGACGAGGACGAGCTGCAGGTCCTGATAGACTGACCCCTGAGATATTTAAGGATGGTGGTTCAGTTTTATCAGCTAGGTTGACTGAGATCTTAGGTAGAATCTGGGAACTGGACGCAATCACATCCGACTGGTCTCAATCCTTTATTGTCCCAATCTATAAGAAAGGACAAAAGTCTTCTTGTGACAGTCATAGGGGAATAAGTCTCACTAATATAGTTTCTAAATTGTTAGCCTCGATTATACTTAGACGCCTAACTGGTGCTCCTGAAGAGCAGACTAGAGAAAACCAGTCTGGTTTCAGACCTGGACGTGGCTGTATAGACCACGTCTTCACACTCAGACAGGTCCTGGAAATTGACACACATTTAGGCGTCCTACAATAGTTGTGTTCCGTGACCTAAAGGCGGCATTCGACTCAGTGGACCGTGAGGTTCTGTGGCAGTGTCTGTCATTGAAAGGTGTACCAAAGAAGTACATTGACCTTAAAAAAGCCCTCTACTCGAACACCACTGGTCGAGTGAGAGCTTATGGCGAACTGTCACCGGAATCCTTTACGTTAAGTGGTATTCGTCAGGGATGTCCACTTTCTCCATTCTTGACTGACATGACATAGATTAGTCTCACCAACCATCACAAATAAACATTAGCACAAAGGGCCACCTAAATATTTATAAGCCACACAAATGATTGAGTTTGTGAGTGAGCTAGAATACTGTCCAAGTGTACCCAGACCGAAACAATTGGTTTTCTTAAAAGGCCACGACCCAGACCGTTGACACAAAAGTTAAATCTACTAGGCAGTGAAGTAACGTAAGGAGATGCAGTCCCATGGCAGCCAGTGAACAACACTAGGTTCATAGGCTATTTATTTCGTCAGGATTTTGAAGCCAATGTGTATCATTGGATTGGAATGAGGATTTCCAAACTGCATTAGGTGAATTCTCCATACCCACGAACTAGGCTAAAACGTTGGATATTCAATGTTTGTCTTCTATATTTGGTTTAAAAAAACACCCTCGTTATGCGAAGGCAGTGACTAAGACTTCCCTAGTACCGGTAACATATGCGCGGCCGTGTGAGAAAATTTTGATTGGGAGAGTGAACTCTCCAGCGTTTCTCGACCGTTCCACGGCATTCGAGGGTTAATTAGGAGTGGCCGAATGAGGCTATTCGGTAACCATTAGAAAATATCCTAAAGGACGAGTGTACACCATTGGTGAAGAAATGGATTTGATTTCTATAAGTAGATGAGTATTTATACATGATTCGATAGTCACGTAGGCTTTTTTCTTCTGCCCTTGTTTTCTCGTTCGAGTAGCCAGTTTCGGTGAGGGGGGGGGTTGCCCGTATGAGTACCTTCAACCCCCCCCCATTATTTTACATTTGTTAGACATTTACAATCAATAATAGATTTTCTAGAAACTTTTGATCAACAAACATTAGTTCCAGAAAAAAAAGTTATGAAAAAAGGGAAACTGTGTCAACTCATACAAGTGGATCGTGAGGTTCTGTAACAGTGTCTGTCATTGAAAGGTGTACCAAAGAATTACATTAACTTATACAAGCTCTCTATCCGAACACCACTGGTCGAGTAAGAGCTTATGGCGAACTGTCAATGGAATTCTTTACTTCAAGTGGTGTCCTTCAGGGATGTCCACTATCGATTCTTGTTTAACTTTGTCGTAGATGTGCTTCGAGAGTTAACATTATTATCGTCTGATTCTTCAGGAGTAGACCTAACAGGAACCACGCTTGTTGACTTAGAATATGCGGATGACAAAGTTCTATTTGGTGAAGACGCTGACAAAATGCAGAGTCTTCTGACTACCCTAAGCAACCATGCAAGCATATTCGGGATGCGGTTCTCACCCTCGAAATGCAAAATGTTGTTTCAAGACTGGGTTGCATCGGCACCTGAACTAGTGATAGGGAGTGAAGTAGTCGGGCATGTAGACCGCTTCACGTATATGGGGAGTCTCATCAGTGCTGATAGCTTGGTGACTCAATAAATCTCAGCACGGATACACAAGCCTCGACTGGCTTTTGCCAATTTACGTCATTTGTGGCGTAGGCGAGATATCCGTTTGATAATGAAAGGACGAGTGTATTGTGCAGCAGTTCGACCCGTTCTCCTATATGGATCCGAAACATGGCCGATAACAGTAGATGTTCGTAGGTTACTAGTATTCAATCGTAGATGTCTCAGAAGCATTGCTCGTGTATCGTGGGACAACCGAGTAAGCAATGCTGCCATTAGGAAGCGAGTACTAGGTAAGGATGCCAAATCAATAGATGAAGTAATGAAACTTCATCAATTGAGGTGGTTGGGACATGTGTTACGAATGCCTAACCACCGACTGCCGCGACGAGATATGTTTTGCAGTGTAGGAGTAGATTGGAAGAAAGCTAAGAGCGGCCAAACCAAGACATGACTGAAATCCATGAAGTCACTGACAAGTGTACTGAGCCATGTCGGTAGGTGTCAACTACCTGGTTGGGGTCTGAGAGATGAAAGTCACCAATGGTTAGAGACCTTAAATGACATGGCTGAAAATCGTTTGCAATGGCGCAAGTGTATCCATTTGTTGAGCTCTCTCAAATCCTAATCTTCTGGATTCGTCAACTCTTCTACTTTTGTCTTCCTAAACTTATCTCACTGAAGTATACTTCTTGAATATTATCTTTAAATCCTAATCTTCTCCATTAACAGTAATTCTTCTACTATCTCTATCACTATGAGATTTGAATTGACAACTGCGTCTCTGTACTAATGTCGTATAGCAACATGAACTGATGTACTTACGTACGAAGTTATATGTTGTAACTGACTAACTGACTGACTGAGTGTAAATTAGTCAGGAAGAACAGAAGTAGTAGTAACTAACTTGAAATATTTTTTTCTTGTTATCAGTCAATAAACATAAACACTTATCAGGATAAAAATGTACAT